GAAGGGAGAGAGGGGGGCCGGCCACCTTCTCCTAGTCCTAATAGGACTAGGGGAGGGGGAAGAGGCGCAGCCACCTTGGGCTGCCCCTTTCTCCTTTCCACTAAGGCCCATGAAGGCCCATATGGCTCCCGGGGGGTTCCGGTAACCTCCCGGTAACCCGGTAAAATCCCGATTTCACCCGGAACACTTCCGATGTCCAAACTAGGCTTCCAATATATCAATCTTTACGTCTCGACCATTTCGAGACTCCTCGTCATGTCCGTGATCACATCCGGGACTCCGAACAACCTTCGGTACATCAAAATGCATAAACTCATAATATAACTGTCATCGTAACCTTAAGCGTGCGGACCCTACGGGTTCGAGAACAATGTAGACATGACCGAGACATGTCTCTAGTCAATAACCAATAGCGGGACCTGGATGCCCATATTGGCTCCTACATATTCTACGAAGATCTTTATCGGTCAGACCGCATAACAACATACGTTGTTCCCTTTGTCATCGGTATGTTACTTGCCCGAGATTCGATCGTCGGTATCCAATACCTAGTTCAATCTCGTTACCGGCAAGTCTCTTTACTCGTTCCGTAATACATCATCTCACAACTAACATATTAGTTGTAATGCTTGCAAGGCTTATGTGATGTGTATTACCGAGAGGGCCCAGAGATACCTCTCCGACAATCGGAGTGACAAATCCTAATCTCGAAATACGCCAACCCAACATCGACCATTGGAGACACCTGTAGTACTCCTTTATAATCACCCATTTACGTTGTGACGTTTGGTAGTACCCAAAGTGTTCCTCCGGTAAACGGGAGTTGCATAATCTCATAGTCATAGGAACATGTATAAGTCATGAAGAAAGCAATAGCAACATACTAAACGATCAGGTGCTAAGCTAATGGAATGGATCATGTCAATCAGATCATTCTACTAATGATGTGACCTCGTTAATCAAATAACAACTCATTGTTCATGGTTAGGAAACATAACCATCTTTGATTAACGAGCTAGTCAAGTAGAGGCATACTAGTGACACTCTGTTTGTCTATGTATTCACACATGTATTATGTTTCCGGAAAATACAATTCTAGCATGAATAATAAACATTTATCATGATTATAAGGAAATAAATAATAACTTTATTATTGCCTCTAGGGCATATTTCCTTCACTATCACTGTTACTTTCAGTACTTTACAGAGAATACCTTGTTGAAAACCGCTTATCATTTCCTTCTGCTTCTTGTTGGGTTCGACACTCTTACTTATCGAAAGGACTACGATTGATACTACTTGTGGGTCATCAAGACTCTTTTCTGGTGCCGTTGCTGGGGAGTGAAGTGCCTTTGAAATGTGGAATTTGGTAAGGAAACATTTATCTTATGTGCTGAAATTTTCTGTCACTTGTCACTATGGAAAATAATTCTTTGAGGGGTTTGTTCGGGGTATCTTCACCTCGACCAGAAGCAATAAGAGTTACCCCTCAACCTACTGAACCTACTCCAAATATTTATTATGAGATTCATTCGGGTATGTTAAAGAAACTGCTAGCTAATCCTTATGTAGGAGATGGAACGCTACATGTTGATATGCACTTATCTATGTGGATGAAATTTGTGGATTATTTAAGCTTGCAGGTTTATCTGATGATGGAGTTAAGAAGAAGGTATTCTATTTATCTTTGGAGGGAAAGATATTGACATGGTATAGGCTATTGGATGATATTGGAACATGGGATTGGAACCGACTGAAATTGGAATTTCATCAAAAGTTTTATCCTATGCATTTAGTTCATTGTGATCAGAATTATATATATAATTTCGTCATGGTATATTCCTAGATCTTGGCCCCTTTAGGCCCCATCTGGGTCGGGAGGGCTGTCTATTGGTGGCGCAGCGGCGATAATCTCTGCAGGTGGTGGTGCGGCGCTATCAGCCGGCTTGCTGCATTGTGGCAACGGGGCCTTCATAGGCCCAGCTAGGCCCGGCCGGGCCAGTAGTGGCCTAGTGTGTCCGTGGTGCCGCGTCCGGTCGACTGTCGTAGCGGTGGAGGAGGTTGTTCCCACCCGCACGGCTGAGTTGCTGTTGTCCCTGATTCTATTGTCCCCTCCTCTTTCCTCTAGGCCTCATGTCAGGTGACCATAGTGAGACGACAAGGATAGCGCTAAGACCGTGGTGGCGCATGTTGGTGGTGGTATGTTGGGTGAAGCACTATGGATTGTTCGGGCGGTGGTGGTTTTTTGGGGTTGGGAGACATCCTTGTCGGCTCGTCCGGCACCGACGTGGTGACGCCTACAGGTGCTGTCATTCCTTCCTGAAGGGCCTTAGTGTACACCTTCCCAACTTCCCTTCGTGTACCGAGGGAAACCCTAGGACTAGTCCAGGCAGCAGTTGCATCGTCGTCGCTTCATTCTAGAAGGTGTTGCTCGGTACGCGGCGCATCAGAGTGCTAGGAGCGCAGTGAGACTTCTCTAGAGGGTATCGCTGGTTGCCGGTCATCTTCGTGTCGTCGATCTACCGGTGTTGGCATTTATTTCTTTTTCTTTCTCTCTTTTTCTCCTTTGGGCTTGGTTGTGTTGCGGCTCCAGCAACTACATTGTATCGTGTGATTGTTATATTAATATAGCGGGGCGAAAGCCTATTTCATCAAAGGGTTTCTGCACTAGTGCCCTCCCCATCCCCGGTCTCTAGCTTCGTCCGTGGAAGTCAACTTACCAATTGACTTGCTTGTGTGACAAAACTAGCAATGACAAGTGGACATGAGGTGTCAATTTATCAAAACAACTCACACGATTGGTTTGGGTGTGGCTGGAAAATTAAGGCAAAACAAAATAAAAAAATTATGGTTATGTGAAACCCTAGCTACAAACTCGTAGTTTCATGCGATTGACTCAAAAATGAAGTAGATTCTCTTTTTTTCTAAGGAAAAACTTTCAATCTATTCATCCAGAGTCAAGGTAGTACAAAGAATACCAGAAAATAAAAAATACATCCAGGTTCGTACTCCATCTAGCAATGAATAGAAGCACTGGAGCGAGCCGAAGGCGCGCTGCCATCTTCGCCCCTCCCTCGGAGGCAGGAAAACCTTGTTGTACTAGACAGTCGGCAAGTCATCGTGCTAAGGTCGCATAGGACCAGCGCACCAACGGCAATTGCCGCCGATGAAGAGATGCGTAGATCGAAATGATACAACATGTAGGCACATGAACACATACGAACGGAGATAGGATCCACGTGTATCCGCCGAAGACAAACGCCAATCGAATCCTGTGAGATCTGCCAGAGAAAAAACCCCACACGGCCTCGACGATGCTAGAAACATCACCAGGACGGGGACTAGGCAGGAAGAATCTTATTCCATCTTCAGAGAGCCGCCACCTCGCCTCTCTGAATAGGATGAATAGGACACAAACCCTAACAAAAAATGAAACAACGAAACGTTTTCACTGGCAAAGGCTGGGATCCACCGCGCCACCATGGCCATAAGCCCACAGAAGACGAGATAGACTCGCGACGACACCGGCGGGAGGCACGAGCAACCCTAGTCAAAGGGTCCTCTTTCTTCCATGGGATGAAAAGCCCAAACAAACTAGTAGACCCTACTATTACAGTTCAGGGTGCTAACGTATCCAATATGCCCCTACAGATTTCTCACCTGTCTTAGAACTATGTTACACTATAACAGCATCTACAGCCGGACAATGCAAATTCGGCCCCTCAAACGGGCGCGTCCGCGGGCAGGCACTGACCGGGTACACCTCAAATTAGCCACTTTGCATCTACCTCTCTCGTATTTCATCACCTAGATCCATATAAAACATGCAAAAGTAATCCTACGTACTACATCTACGCAGTACCCTAGCTACTCTTTGTCGTCGAAGATGTCCACGACGACGGTGTCGGGCGCCAGCTGGACGGGCGGGTAGGGGGGCTTCGACTCATCCTCCTCCTGCTCGACCTCATCCATGTAGGCGAACATCTTCGCCTCGTCCACGGCCTCTTGCCCCTCCATCTCCTACGGGCGACGGCGTCTTGCCTCTGCAGCCGACACCTACCGGAGGGAATCGAGGATAGCCTACCGCTCTGTCTGCAGATCCCCTTCGCCAGCGTCCCCACATCCTCCTCCTCCTCCTTCAACTCCTCCTCCGGATCCACTGCATCCGGAGGTAGCCCCGCTGTGATCCGGGCTTCACGCCTTGCCCGGATCTGCTCAAGGAGCTCAAGCTGGCGCTCCGGAGTCAGAAAATGCTCGCTCCTCACCCGGCGACGTGGGGGCATGGCTACTAGGTGGACAGGTGGAGTGGAAAGTGGCGGCAGCGGACATGAGAAGGAAAATGTGAATGGATGGTAGGGTTTCGGTGCCGCCAGTCGACTTAAATAGTCGGGCAATGCACTACGCGGCCCGCCGGAGCTGCGCCGTGCGGCGCCACCGGTCCGACGGAGGAGACGAGCACCAGACCGCCGGGTTTGAGGGGCGTTTCCGGTCAGGACCCTTTCGTCAGTCCGACGTATCGGATGTGCCCGGACACCCCATATCCACCTCATATTTGAGTTGGATATGAGGGATACTGGTCAGCTCGGGCGTTTGAGGGCTGTCTGAGAGGCCTGTCTGTGTCAAAAAAATATGACAGGGCAGTGACCGGGCGGCATTGCCCAAGCATTTGAGACGGGTTCGAGGGTCTGCTTGTAGATGCTCTAAGCAGAAGGGAGTGAGCAAAGTGATAGGTCTCTGGAGAAAAACAAATTGACGTACAGGCCAATCCAATGTTTACAAAGAGACCAGTTAACGAAACCGAATTGGACCAGGCAAAGCCGTTCAACCGAGTGCCTCCCGCTCGAATGGGATCAAAATCTCTGTTTCGCATCGTCACACTCACACATGTATTATCAACTCAAAAGCAGAGCATTCGTGAATCGCGATTCTCCTGCAGAAAGCATTGACACACACAACAATTCGTACGAGCCACCCGCGGCTGGAGGGGACTTGAGTTGTGGTCATTGGTAGTGCATCTCGTCGAGGACGACGGCGAGCGCGACGATGAAGGCGTAGTCGATGCCGGGGTTGACGGTGACGCTGTAGGCGTTCTTGCCCAGCAGCGCGCTCACCACGGTGGACCGGCGGTCGATCCTGGCGATGACGGTGTCGGATTCGCCGAGGGAGACGGAGCAGGCGCCGTCGTGGTAGCTGCCGGTGATCCGGAAGTCGGGGGCCTGCTCGGCGTCGTTGCTGGCGAGGAAGACGCTGACCTTGGTGGACCACCGCAGCTGGATCACCGACGGCTTCACCACCGTGAACAGCAGGTCCCGCCGGCTCGTGCTGTCCCCGCGGTACACCTTCCACCGCGTGTTCATCACCAGCGCCTGGATGGAACGACCGGCCACCAACCGCAGCGCGTCAGGGTCAGACGGTTGGGGAAGAGGAAATCAACGAGCTTGGAGGAAACAGAGGGGGGCGACACGAAAGAGGAGAAGAAGACCCACCGATTCCTGGACGGTGAGCACGGGGCGGCGGTGGGCGTCCGATAGGAGGCAGCGGCGGCGGAGGCTGAAGAGGACGCCGTCGACGCGCAGCAACAGGGCGCCCGTGGCGGCGTCGGTGACGGTGAAGTCGTTGCCGGACATGCTGAGCGTCTTGGCGACGGCCAGCGCCGCCTCGTCCCCCGCGCAGAAGCGCGCGTCCACCACCGCCAGCGCCGGCACCGCGTCCATCCCTTTCGGCGCCACACGCGCGCACGCCGTCAAGCAGAAGCAGGTGGCGGCGGATCGGATCGGATCGATCGGGCGATGGTGGGGATGGGCGCACGCGTCTTCCGTCCCCTGTCCTGGTTTCGGACCGGGATGTTTGACCAGCTCGGCAACACCAGCATTAACAATGGCAGCTCGGCTTCAGGATATATAGGAGTGTATATTGATTGATTCTTCGTCAGGTGGGTCAGGTCTGAACGGGAAGCCCTCCACGGCGACATCGACAGCGATAGAAATATATCAACTTTGGCAAAGAAGAACCCATCTTTACCGGACGCCAGTTCTCATGGCGCGTACGTGGAAGCAGGCGAGTCGTCCAGCCCAGTGGCTTTTTTCATCTTATCAATCATTTGTTTCATCCTCGAGTTGCTTAATGAGTAAATAAAGAGGATGGATTCGAACCCCAGCGAGCCGTTGGTGGCTTCGGTGATGTTTCTTTGCCTTGGCCTGTTGTGTGGTTTGGCGAGAATCCAACAGCGCGCCGACCACGGAAGGAAAGCGTGTGGAGTCTGAGGAAGCTGTAGCCGCTGTCGCGGGTGTCGGCCCGGCCGACCTCCAGTTTAATCTTTCTGTCCCACGGACAAAAATGGGCCCTCTCGACGAAAATGGAGTCTCTCGTACGGGCCCGCGGTGGGGGCACATCTCACTTCGTTTCCCCCAGTTTCACCGTAGAAAGAGGAAAGTCCATTTTTGTCCCTCGACTAATCACCAAGTTTGGAATTCATCATTGAACTCTAAAATCGAACCATCCTTAGACCAACTCCACTGGGATGACCCATTTCGTCCGCGGGCGTCCATTTGGATCGGTGTGGACAGAAAAGACGGCCCAATGCGCCGACCCAAACAGACGCGCATCCGTTTTTCATCCGCGGGCGATTCATTCCCGGCCCATTTTTAGCCCGATTTGTGTCGGCGCGGACACGGGACGGACGCGCGCGCTCACCTACTCCTGTCCCCGGCCCTGCTGGTCTGTGGCACATTGGCCACCCCTCTCACCCTCCCCCTCCCCCGGCCAACAAGCAACCCTCGCCCCGCCTCCTCCGTCACCGACGCCGCCGCCCATTTTTGCCGGCGACTCTTCCCGCTGCCGCCGCCTCCACATCCGCCCAGCAACGCCGCCCCTGCCCCACATCGCCCCCCGCCGCCGTTTTGCCGCCGGGGAGCAAACTGGTTCCCGCCGCCGCTTCCCCACCGCACAGCCGCCCGCGACCAAGAAGACGTCTCGCCTCCCTCGCCACATCCAACCTGCACGCTCGTCGGACGCCGGTAGGGCAGCTAGCTGGTCTGTGGGCGCCGCGTCTCCCCTCGCCGGCCATCTCCTTCTTCGACGCCCGCAAACTGTTCGACAGTTTGCCAAGGTACGAAAATGGACTCCGCCGACGAGTTCTTTTTCCGCAATTTCCTTTGCGACACCGACGATTCGTCGTCCGACGACCAGGAGGAGATATTGGCTGCCGTGTTGGTCCACCACCACCTCAACAACCAGCGGCCATTGTTTCGTGGCTCCATTTCGGGCCACCTTCCGGCGTTGAATCGTAACCGAGAGAACGGGCATTTTCTTCTCTGGAAGGACTACTTTGATACAACAAACCCGTTGTTCAAACATCACAAATTCCGCCGCCGGTTCCGTATGAGTAGGCATGTTTTCAACCATATTAGAGAGGGAGTGGTCGGCTATGATGACTACTTCGAGTGCAAAGAGGATGCCTTCGGCAACATTGGTTTTTTCTCTTATCAGAAATGCACTGCCGCCATCCGAATGCTTGCATACGGAGTGCCCGGTGATCTCATTGACGAGTACGTCCGTATGAGCGAGTCTACATGCCTAGAGTCCCTGTATAAGTTCTGCAAGGCTGTAATTGCTGTGTTTGGCCCTGAGTATTTGAGAGAGCCGACAGCTGAAGATACAGCCCGTTTGTTGGCGATGAATGCCAGCAGGGGCTTCCCGGGGATGCTTGGCAGTATAGACTGCATGCACTGGTAGTGGAAGAACTACCCTTCTGCTTGACAAGGGCAGTATAAGGGACATATCAAGGCTTTGCATTGTCATACTAGAGGCCGTGGCGTTTCAAAATCTCTGAATCTGGCACTGTCATACTAGAAGCTGTAGCCGCTGTTGTCAGTGTCGGCCCGGCCGACCTCCAGTTTAATCTTTGTGTCCCACGAACAAAAATGGGCCCTCTCGACGAAAATGAAGTCTCTCGTACGGGCCCGCAGTGGGGGCAGATCTCACTTCGTTTCCCCCCAGTTTCATCATCATCGTAGAAACAGGAAAGTTTATTTTTGTCCCTCAACTAATCATGTAGTGTGGAATTCATCCCTAAACTCTAAAATCAAACAACTTGCATCCTTAGAGCAACTCCAACGGACCGACCCAAACAGATAGTGATTTCGTCTGTTTTTTATCCGTTTGGGTTGGCCAGATGGACACCGATGCCCGTTTCCGCATTTGAGTCGGCGCGTGCGCCCAACGCTGGCCTGAGACCCATTTTAACGCCGTCAAAAAAAATGAACGCATGCATATTAAAAAAATAAACACAGCATTAATTAAACATTAAAGCCGGCCACGAAGGCCGGCGAGAGTCCATGCGTCCATATTTACATTTTAAAAAAGAAAACAGCCTAAATTATGAGGCGGCACGCTGCCCTAGGCGTTGTCGTCGTCGTCCTCGGGGTCCGTGAGGTCGATGAGCGTCGGCGCCGGCCTGGCCCAGGCGAATGTCGTGTTCCAGAGCGCCGTCATATCGGGCTGTGCCGGCGCGGGGGGTTGTGCGGCCGCCTGTGCAGCCGCGGCCTGGCGCGCCTCCTCCTCGGCCTCGCGCTGCTCCTCCTTGAGGTCGCGCTCGAGCATCTCGAGGTACTCGTCATCGCGGCACACCTCGGCCACCCTGATGCTGCGCTAGTGCTCGAGGTACGCCTGCTCCTGCGTCAGCGTCGCTCCCATCCAGACCGGCGGCGCGCGTACCCATTCGCGCACTACTCCCGTCCAGGAGTAGCGCTTGATGGGGGCGGCTCGAGCTTCGCCTCCGGCTTGATGGGGGACGGCGGGGCCACCGGCGGCACCACACTGTCGCCCGCCATGGAGAGGGCAAGGGCCTGCGCCATTGCCGCCTCGTACCGAGCCTCTTCTTCCGCCTCCGCCCTGCGCCGCTCGTCCTCCTCGCTCTCCCGGAAGACGGCCGCAAGTGCCGCCTGGTAGGCCTCCTCCGCCGCCTGGTCCTCCTCGCGGACGACGAGCGCCGGTGGCGGCGACCTCCGGTCGACCTCGCGCACGCCCCGTCGCCTCGCTTCCTCGTGCTTAAAGGCGAACCACCTCGCCCAGTTGGGCGAGTCGGTTGCGTAGGCGGCCTCGCGGCGCTGCTCCGGCGTCAGCATCGCCCGCCCGGCGCCGCACCTCCTCTGCGTGAGCACGAGCCGACCACGGCGCCGCCGGCACTGGGATCCTCTCTGGATCCAGATGCCAGTCGTGCGGCAGCGTCACGTCGGGATACGGTAGAGGCTGGCGGTGCTGCCAGTGCCACTCCGCCTGGTGCACTGGCACGTTCACCCGCTGCCTCTGGAGGAGGAGGGAGGAAAGGGGTGGTGGGGGACTTGCTCTTGGCCTTGCTGCCGATGGCGCCGGAGAAGAGGCCCATCTCTGCTGTGGATGTGGTGGCTAGGGTTTACCGGCGACGAGGGAGCAAAGGATGGCAGATGTGGATGGCGAGTTTGGATGAGGACGGCCCCGCCGCACGGTCAACTTAAAAAAGGAAGAGCGCCGTCGCTGACGCATGGGCCCGTTGTCATAAATTAAGCTGACCGCGTGGGCAGCAGGTAGTTGGACAGCCGCCATGTGGGGACGCGGCGGACAACCGGAAGGCGCGCGAAGTGTCCATTCGGCGTCCGTGTCGACGCATTTAGAATGCAAATTTGGGCCACAAATGCGTCGGTGCGGACGCGACGCGGACGTGATTTGGATTTGGGTCGACGCGTTGAGCCGCCACTTTTGTCCGCACCGACCCAAATGAATGCAGGCGTACGAAATAGGTCGGCCCTTTGGAGTTGCTCTTATAACTCGTTAAGCTGGCCGTTTCAAAAAAAATATGTCCTTAAGCCAGACAAGTTTGGTACCTCCCTGAACTGAAATGGTTTATTTGACTTTGACTGGTTGGTCCCGCATGGAAATAGTTTCTTCAACCTTACGCTGCTTTCTGCCTCTGATTTTATGTCCCCATTGATCCAAAATAGTTGAGCCTCTCTTTCCTTGGATGCAACAAATACGCATCCTTCTCAGGCCCTATTTGGTTCAGCTTTTATCGACGGATTCCGCTGCCGCGCAACAGAATCTGAACCAAAGGGCGAACCCAACAGAATCCGATTTCAGAAATCCGCTGCCAAAATCTGAACCAAAAGCGGAAGCAACCCAGGACGTGCTTTCTAAAATCTGATTCCGCTGCGGGCCAAAATTTGAAAAGGCTGTATCAGCTGGTTTGTCAAATAACCTACATCTTTTTCACATCAGATTTTCCACAGCTGTTTTTCCGCAGCAGCTTTTTCATAGCTGCTTTTAGAAATCCACAGCTGAACCAAACAGGGCATCAGTCGATGAAGGCATGTACGCGTCCTTTGTCACCGCCATCCCTCCCAGTCCGCGCCTTCATGATTTTGCACCCTGCGATGGTCGTGAAGCGCCTCTCTTAAGGACCATGCCGCTAGTGCCACAAACCGTGAATCCCATGTCGAGCTGGTGCTCGGCAGCCTCAGCCACCGCAGTCTCGCATGCTTGCCCCGCTACTGTGACGCTGGACGTGACCGCCTCCTCTTCTATGACCTCCTCGAGCAAGGCATCATTGACGCCTGACTTCACTGCGATGCCACCACGACCAATGACCACGTGCCTCTCCGTTACACGCGGTGCCGCGACCGCTTGCACCTGCCTACACCACGACGAGTGGACTACATTGTCGTGTGTCACTGCACATGCC